AGGGTAGAAAAAGACTATTGAATAATATCCTCTGTATTTTCAAAGTACAAATATATGAAGTTCAGACACCATATAAAACCAATTTTGGTTGCTATGGAACTGTCATTTATATACGCTATGTGGGTGTATATGCATGGTAAGTATACAGGACACTACGGTATTATAAGCTTGCCATCACTTCTCATTTTTTTGTCGGGTTTGTTGTTGTTATTGTTATTTTCTCTCCTAGACTGAATGCCTTTCAATAAAGAAGCCTATGTGTGTGACATCACGGCACATCTATTGCTAAAGCGGCACCAAAGAAAGCAAGGGGTGTTTTAGCTATAATCTCTATGTTAGATTCTGCTACTCTAAGATACTTGTATTTGCTGCCAAGTAAACGCTATCGAGGTACGACGACTGTATCCGCTAAAAGATATATTTTTTTAATATGATATAAATACAATTAGTGGTACAGCGTCAGTCCACGGTCTACTTTAGAAACTAGTGTCTATCATGTGGTTATTAAAAGTCTGTTATCGTGTTCTAAGTTAATTCTCGTGATATGATAAATATTGATATATGTACTCATTTTATATAGAGATATATATTCACGCATATATCGATATCTGTCTACATGTATGGTCTGTCTCAGTATGCATCAAGGCTACTATAGCAAGTTCGAAATACAGTATCTATTTTTTTTTTCTTTACTTTTTTTTTTTTTTTTCCTTTCGTAGCTCACCAATTGACGCCGGTCCGAGGTCAGAAAGCTGACACTGACCTCGACTGACGCCCGTTAAAGTGACCCATGGACTGAAAAGTGATCCCTTAAAACGGTCTAAACTAGCTTGTTCACGGAGAAAAAAATAGCAATAAACACGCTCGATTCCCTTTTTTTCGTGTATCTGTCTTCTCTTATCTCTACCTGTAAACAAAATCAAATAAAACGTAGAATAAAGACGAATAATGAATCAGTTTTTACCTTCATCCTTCCCGTTATAGTTCTCTGTTGTTTAGTATCCCCAGTAAACAAACAGACAACAAACGGAAAATTCTATGAAGCGTCGAAGCCTAGCCAGTGACACTCTAGCGGTCGCGCCGAGTGCTAAGTGCTTGCTGTGAGTGGCTGTTGGTGTTGAGTGCTTGTTGTCTGCGGTTGTTATGATCGCCTGTGGCCTCTGTTTAATACACTGATTACTACTTGATCTACAATTCACCTGGGAGTATGTTTGTTCAGTGATATAAAGCTAGTGAAGCAGAGTTGACGTACGCGACATGGCTAGAGTGTGATTCGTAAGTTCGACTATATATATTTACTTTTTTTTTCTTGGAATTGGAAAGTGCAAAAGATTTGATACTTTATCTTCATAATGGTTAAGGTGCTATAATGATCATCTTTCCCGGAGCTATATTAGTTATGCTCAGTAGCATAGCTGATATAGAGTGAACGTTTCTTCACTAAAGGTTGATGTGTCCAGAAGTGTGAAAAATGTTCAACACATGTTCAAACGACTGGACGAGTTAATACATGAGTTGGGTAATGTTTTTGAACATGACAGTAAAGCAAGTTAAAGCAATAAAGCTCCAAGATTGAGTGAAAAAGCATACAGCGTCTGAAATTCATGACATATGCATTCAGTGAGAGAAACCATTAAAAGTTTTTTTTTTCTTTTTTTTTCTTTTATATATAGGTATATACAGTTCAAGGACAAATAATCTTAACGATCTATACTTTCTTTAGAGAAAGTTGTGTTGCCTCTTATAATATATTAATGCTAAAATTAAACACCAAAGTGATTATTATGGTAACCTAAGCAGGTTATATGTGGTTCATTCTCTTTCGAATTGGCTTCAGATTCATCACCTACTTCAGACGCCAGCCATAACTACCAGACTGGCATCGGCTATAGCACTTCTTGCCTCTGAGGACAAGGATTGAAAGGAGAAATTTGTATAACAATTTTTTTTATCCGTTTCTGCTGCCTATAAATCTATGCTAGGAGAAACACCGGTCCACGTGGGAGCAGAGAGTCCCACACAAAGTCTCCCTTCTCTTCTCTGTTTTTTTTTTTTTTTCTGTGGTGGATTTTGGAAACACGATATCCACCGTGACTCCCGAGAGCCATAACAAGAGGAGGGCGAAGAGGGAGGAAAAAAATAGGTATGGATGAAGATTCTTTTTCAGACTCGCGGTTCCGAAACGGAGACAGAGACGAAGCAGATGCTCGCTCTTGCTTTCTATCTCTGTCTCTCACTTTCTCTTCTCTCTTCCTGCAGAAGGGGGGGGGGAAATCCTCCAGGCGCCTTGTAGATCAGACGCGGCAGTCCCAGACGTCGACGAAGGACCGGGAGGAGGAGCAAGGACGCCAACGAGGGGCTACGAGATCCTCAGTACCTGAAGGAGAGCCAAGGACGCGAGCACTGTGACCAAGGACGCCCCGTTGGAGGAGGAAGGGGCGCCGTTGCATCCTTCGGAGTCGTCGCAGCTCTGGAGGCAGCCCTTCACGTACCTGACGGA